AAACACAAACACAAACACAAACACACCCACACGCACACGCACACGCACACGCACACGCACACAAACACAAACACACATGCACATGCACATGCACATGCACACACACACACGCACACGCACACAAACACGCACACGCACACGCACACGCACACGCACACGCACACGCACACGCACACGCACACGCACACACACACCACACACACCACACACACCACATACACACACGCACACACTTACACACATACACATACACACACCGCATCCATCCGCGTTTTTCTCCTTTCCTGCTACCTCCTTCACCTCCCCGCTCCTCCCTCGTCCCTCCTGCCCCTCACTCCTCCCTCCTTATCCTCTTCCTCGTCCTCTTCCTTATTCTCCTCTAAGGATACTGGAGGTAGGTGTGGACGAGTCGGCGAGAAGAGCTTGGAGGGGGAGTACGGGACAAAGGGAGGATGCGGGGTGAGGAGGAGTGGTGGATTGAGGAAAAAGACGACGCAGGATGAAAGGAGGAGGAGGAGGTGGAGGAGGAGGAGGAGGCGAAACAGAAGGATGATGTGACGGAAGAGGCATCTCAAAGAGGAAAACGAGGCGAAAGAGGGATGAGCCAGGAGGAGGTGGATGGAAGAGGCATGTCGCTCACGCGTGGACGTGCACTTGTTGTTAGCGCCGTGTGGACGTGCACTTGTTGTTTTTTAGCCCGTGGTGCTGGGCAGTTCTAACCCTCAGGCGGTGCACTGTCTTGGCTTCTGAGTGAGCGTGTTCTCGGTCCCCCTCGCTGCTCAGGCACAGGGGTCGGGGCGGCGCGTGCCGGGCCCTGGACGGGGGCAGCCCCTGCAGTGGCTGCTGCGGACTCGTCCGTTGCTGCTGCTGAAGAGGGCGCGGCGGCCCGATGCGGCTCCGAGCGCCCGCCAACGGGCCCTTAACGGCCTCGACGTGGCCTCCTCGCGCCCCCCGCAGCGCCTCCGCCGCCGAGGCCTCGGAGTGCCTCCCGGAGGGCTCCATGATCGGGGGCCTCCGCGCAGCCTCCGCCTGGTCTCCGGAGGGTCCCCGCAGCGCCTCCGACGCCGCCGAGGCCTCCGAGTGCCTCTCGGAGGGCTGGGCCTCCGCGTGGCCTCGGCGTGGCCTCCGCGTGGAGGGCCTCCGAGGGCCTCCGAAGCGCGCGCGTGGCCGGCGGAGGTCCCGCGGCGGCGGGGCGCGCGCGCCCGCGCGCGCGCCGCGCGCGAGGGCGGGGCTGCTCCGCAGCCCGGGTACGGCGCCGCTGGGTACGACCAGCAGCGCCAGCAGCAGCAGCAGCAGTGGTACCTGGCAACGTTTTACCCTCATCCCCCCTCGTTCCTCCTCCTCCATCGTCCTCCTCCTCCTCCTCCTCCTCCTCCTCCTCCTCCTCCCTGGATCTCTTCTCGAGGGCATACGGCCCGAGACGGGCCCCTCCCTGGAGGCCCAGGCCGTCGATCAGCCGGTCGTTTCGAGTCACGCAGAGCGCCCTGGCCCTACTCGTAAAAGTTGCATTTTTGTTCGGCGGGGCCAGCGTCAGAAAGTCTGGACCATTTTGGGGGCACCTTGGATCACCCTGGGGAAGAGACGCACGAAGCCGAACAATGCACAGGGGATGGACGTCCGAGCGACGGCAACCACTCCCACTGGACCATGGTTCGGTAGGCTCATGTCGTGTCGACGCGGCGGCGACCCCAGCGCGGGCGTTCGACGTTGAGCACAGCCAGTGGCCCAGAAGCGGCCAGTATGGAACGACCTGGCGATCGGAAAGCTGCCGATCGTACAAGGTTTAACGATCCACGCAGTGTCGAAACCTTGTCTCCACCCTCGAAGAAGCAGAATATCAACTTTTGGAGGGCCGCGCGGATTTCTTGTATCGGCACTGGGCCGCCCCTGGCGGCGCGCCGCTCCCGGCGCGCTTCGCGCCCCAGGGAGGGGGTCCAGTGCCGATCCAAGACATCCGCGCGGACCTCCGAAAATTCATGTTCCCCACCCGACAGGTTGGGGTTGCTAGATTTCAAGAACAGGCCCCCCAGCCAACCCCGCCTTGCATGCCGCGGCCGCAAGACCCCAAGTTGTCCCAATGATCCCCGAGAATCCTGGTCGTCTCGCCTCGTGCCCAGTCAACCCCACCCTGCATACTTGTGGCGATGATTCCCAGAGACCCAGGTGTCCTGCCACGCATCGCGCACTCGACGAACACGACAGAACATATTATGACAGAACCGAAAATGACAGAACATAACACGAGCATGACATAATGTGGAGAACATATCATATCAAAACTGTGGCACAATAGGGCATACCATAAACTTGCATAACATACCAGAGCATATCATGGCATATTGGAAGACGACATAACACAGCATAACAATCGTAACCGAGCATAACATAACACCTTGACACACCATATCGTATCATTACACATCCTTTCATCCCATATCATAACACGACAGCAGAGCATAGCGACTACGAACACGACATCACACAGCATGACACACCATATTATGACAGAACATAACACGAGCTCGACAGACCATGGCAGAGTAGAACATAGCAATGCCATGACCAAATAGGGCATGCGACAACTCCACATAACATGCCATACCATAACATGGCGTACCAACATTAGGCACAGTGCGCCATAAAATACAGAGCTGACATTCACGTAGCACACCTTGACATATCATATCATATCATGGCACAGCATCGCATAACATATCATAACACGACAGCAGAGCATAGCGACGACGCACACAGCAGAACACAGCATGACACAAGAGACCATGCCATAACATAACACGAGCATGGCAGACCATGCTATAGCATAACGTAGCAATGCCATGACACACTGGAGCACAACCCACACCACAGACCATACCAGAGCAGAACATGACAGACCATACTACGACATAACACAACGTAACACACCATAGCCGAGCATAGCAATAAGGCACCTTGACAGCACCTATATCACATCATGGCACATCATGACTGAAACTATCATAACACGACAGCAGATCATAGCGACACATATTAGCAACGCAGATCATTTTATGTTGTACAGCGTTGAGCAGTCAATACTCATAACGTTACAGAACCTACCAGAGCAGAACGCGACACACCAGAACACGACATACCACACCATAACTAGAGCCGGCATGACCGTAGCACACCTTGACATAACATGTATTCTTGTGCAAAAAAACATTATAGAACCTATCATAAAGCGACAGAAGAACATAGCAACGACGCGCGCGATATAGCACAACATGCCACACCAGAACATGACGTACCATAACATGAACATGGCAGAATACGACATAACATACCATAGCATTGCCACGATCACATAGGGCGTAACAATACACAGCATAACATACCAGCGGAGAACATGCCATAACCGAAGACAACACACCATAACAAATCATAACCGAACATACCATAACACATCCTGACATAACGTATCACATCATGCCATAGGATCGCTAAAGCTATCATAACACGACGGCAGAGCATAGCGGCACATGCTAGCAACGCATATCATTACGTTATACAATGCCGAGCCGTCAACAAACCGAACATCACATGACATACAAGAGCAGAACATGACAGATCAGAAGCCTTCCGAACACACCATGGCATAACATGACCGAGCATGCCATAGCACATCATGCCATATCATATAAGATCATAGCATGACTCAGCATCGCACACCATATCATAACACGACAGCAAAGCATAGCGGGCAATATTTGTTGATCATTTCATAGTATTTTATATCGAGCCGACTTGTCAACTGTTTCACGGAGCAGAGCATATTACAACATACATTGACATCTCATTTCGTGTCATAGCATTTTTCCACATATCAGAGCATACCATAACACCTCAAAACACCTGGTGCCAGAGATGAGCATACCATAACATAGTCAATCAGAAGAAACATATAAGTGCAGAGGAACATAATAACATACGGCGCATCTAACGTCACAGGCCCGACGACGTCACGTCGGCCCGTTGAGAACATAACATAATAGAGCATAACATGAAAGACCGTGACCACAGGTACCACGGTCTAATCGTTTTCGAATCCGGAAGCGGCAGTTGTCGACCAATTAGGCGACCGCGCGCCGTGAGGAACAAACGCTGCAGGTTTCGATGGGGATAACGCGAAGCAATGGGATGTGTTATGCAGTTTTCGGTTCCTCTATCATCCCCACCCCACCCCCCAGCAGGCCATGCAGCTCAGCTAGGCCTCCCAGACTGGGTCGGAGTAGATGGGGTCAGAGGATCGCGCCGAATCGCCGATGCATCGGCGATGCAGGTTGATGTGGAGCCATTTTATCTCCGCGCTGATGACGCCGCTGCATCGCCGATGCATCGGCGATACATCGCCGATGTATCGGCGATGCAGTGTGATCCTTCGACCCCATCTACTCGGACCCCATCTAGAAGGCCCATAGTTCAGCCCCATCATCCCAAAGGGGACAGTCTACATCCCCATCTGGGGAGTGGGTACGGCAGGTTCGCGTCGTGTCGACTGGTGGCGACCCCGCCGCCGGCGTTCAACGTTAGACGCCGACGGCGACACAGAATCGGTCGATCTGGAACGATCCGACGTTTCGGAAACGGCCGATCGTTCAAGGTGGAAAGATCCCCGCAGTCATTGAGATCCGATCACGCGGGAAACTTGCAACATCGCAAAAATTCACGCTTGGAGTCCAAGACCCTATCTTCCTGCACTACTTTTTTCGAGCCCAGTCGATCGGTGAGGGCCCTGGGGCCCGAAACAGGGCAAAGATACCCGGCTCGAAAGAATGGTGGCGTCAGGATCTCAGGGATGTTAGGGACCAATGCCGCAGTTGGCATGACACGAACCTGCCGTACATCGGCCAGCGGGGCCCCGGCCAGGCGCCCCACAGTGGGCAGAGATTTGTGGAACGGTCCTCAGGTACGGCGGCGCTGGCCAGCAACCTGCGCCGGGGGCGGGGGGCTACAGATGA